AATTACTTTCCCGTTGGCGAATTCATCTGGGTAACCGTACAACAGGCATTTAAAAATTTTAATACCAAATCATTAATGCTTATATACAAGTGAAATAGTGTGTGAAATAATACTTTCTGTCTAGCTATCTTTGTGGAGTTGACCCAAGATTAACAAATATAGTAATTTGTTAAATTTACAAATCACAGTAAATTTCTGTGATTTGAAGGCCCCAAGAATCCCCTGACCCCAAAAACCAACACTGCCCAGTGGCCTCGATGCCTTAAATCTCCTGTCTCCAGACGACTCCTTAGGGGTGAATACACTGCTACTTGGGACTGACACCCACAGATATATTTAAAAAATAGATGAATCTATCTGCAAGCAGGCTCCTTATCTAAATTTTCACAAAATGAAACCCTCCAGCAAACCTAGGGAGAACGAAGTTAAAAGTGTGAAGCAAACACATTTTCTGAGAAAGGAAGGAGACGCTGGAACCCTCTTGGCTGTCTCCCACATTCCCCATCATTTGTCAGCCTGGGACCTTGTGTTTCACCTGGGCTTGTTCCCCCTTTCAAAGCTCAGCTGGCATATGAACAGTCACATGTTGCATTTCAAAACAAATCTACCCTGTTCTCAGTTATCTTTGAATGGCGAGAAAAACAATCAATCGTGAGGGTTTTTAGATTAGTCTTGGCTTCATTTTGCTTGTAAAACATAATCATCTTACTTGATTTGATGACTTTGGTTTGAAGTGCTAAGCTTCTTGGTTTTTGTTTTTTTTTTAATAAAGGAGGCTGCAGTTCTGGAGTTTTGCTGTAACCTCACATCTCAGTCTGCGAAATCTTGTAAAGAGCTCTGAGGTCCAATGCTGGGATAAGTCACATTTAATAGCATTATTATCCACGGACACAGCAAGGTGCAATCTGGATGTAGTTCCTAAACCAGTGTGCTTTTGGTGAACGTCTGATTTCTCTATTGTCCAGGGAAATGTATTTATGGGGACAGACTGATGCAGCAGATGAGAAGGTACATAGACTGGATGGGAAAGTACTTTGTAAGGAAAATGATTCAAATACAACTCAGGTTGGGGGGGGAAATGGCTTTTTAAAATAAATGAAATTTCAGGATGTTAATGTGATTTATTTCACTTAATGGAGCTGGTGCCGGATGGCCCAGAGGTAACAAATCCCTCCCCTGCTCAGGCTAAGCAGGATATCATGTTTCCCAGCAGTTTGTTTCCTCACCTTGAAGAGGACCCCCAGTGTATATGGAAAAAGAAAATCACCGATGGTTGGAGAAAAGCAACTCTTGTTGCTTTATCTTCAAGAGAGGTCTATCATTTTCTGATTTTTTTTTTTCTTTCCACCTAGAAGGTCTGGGGTGGATGTGATAGGTAGCTTTGGGGAACATTTGATGTCCATCATCTTACCAAGGAAGCCTTTAAACGAACCTGTCATTCTGTGCCCGAACAATTAGTGTTTTATGACCTGCTGCCCAAGCACATTTGCAAATTACAAGCACACCTCTGTGTGGTTTTTCAAAGAGGAGCCCTATTTCCCCCAGGGCAGCAGGGGTTTCTATGTTGTGTGACTATCTGAACCTGTTATTCTGTCTGAAGAGCTCTGGAACAGCAGCTCCTCCAGGAGAAACAGAAGATTCAGTGCAAGGTCTCCAGGTACTTGGGGGCACCAGAGAGCCTTAATCTTTACATAGATGTTTACGAATGGGTCACCGCATATTTGGCCCAGAGAGAGAGAAAGTTACATCTCATGTGTCATCAGCTTGCCCCTTGAAAGCTACCATAAGTGAAGGGGGCACCATCTATGAAATAATAAAGTCAGTAAGGAAAAAGAATTTGCCTGGTTAAAACTGGATCTACACCTGCCTTTGGGGAGCGTATTCATTCCATTAAATTGGATATGCCTAATCTGGGGAAACTGAGGCAGTAATATAAGCCAAAGTGCCTAAGGATAGGGACAGCAGGTAAGGATTACCCAGTTAAACAGCCTCCTTCCTCTTGCCGCCTCCACACTTTGCCTGCCCGGAGGCCAGCCAGTTGTCCCGCACCATCCACACTTGCCAGTACATTAGAGTCGATTATTTGTCTCTTTTTGTCAGCACTGAAATGAGGAGTCAGGCCCTGCCAAGGTGGCTCCACTGAGCGGGGCAGTGATTTATAGATTAATTATTTTAAGGAACAAGGCAGCACAGCATGATGTAGTGGAAAGAGTGCTGCGCTAGGCGAAGCCCTGCATTTTAGTGCTGGCTCGGATCCTTAATAGCTGTTTGACTTTGGGCAAATCACTTAACCTCTCTGGGCCTTAGTCTCTTTATCTGTAAATTGGGAGTAACAATAATTGATGGTTGTTGGACTTCCCTGGTGGCACAGTGGTTAAGAATCTGCCTGCCAAGGCAGGGAACACGGGCTCGAGCCCTGGTCCAGGAAGATCCCACATGTCGCAGAGCAACTAAGCCTGTGCACCACAACTACTGAGTCTGTGCTCTAGAGCCCGTGAGCCACAACTATTGAGCCTGCGTGCCACAACTACTGAAGCCCGTGCTCTGCAACAAGAGAAGCCACCGCAACGAGAAGCCCACGCACCGCAACGAAGAGTAGCCCCCGCTTGCTGCAACTAGAGAAAGCCTGCACGCAGCAACGGAGACCCAATGCAGCCAAAAATAAATATAAATAAATAAATAAATAAATTTATTTAAAAAATTGATGGTTGTGGTGATCAAATAAAACCCTGACTATGAAAGCATTTTATTGATTGTAAGGCACTAAACATATGTAAAGGATTGTTATTGTTGTTAGATTGCTAGGGACATGTACAGTAACACCACCTAGCCATTCTTCAGTCCCAGGACCTCAGGAAGAACCCTAGAAGTCATAGAGGAGAGGGCCCTGAATTTGTTGCCCTTATAAGCCATTCCACAAATCTGCTCAACTCTACCACGGGATGGGAAACGGGTCAATTATCAGTGGTACTAACTAAATAACACTTCACTCTACTCAACACGAAAGAGCCCCCGTATGTTTTATGACCATTAGCTTCTCAGTATTAAGAACAATTTGGGATATGAGGTGCAAATTACAATTTACAGTCTCTCTCCATTATCCGTGCATATGGAAGGGAGAAAACAGGGTAGGTGATCGTAGAAAGTGGAAAATACTAAAGTCACATAGTATAGAATGAGTTCTCCTAAAGAATATAAAATCCCAAAGTCACATAGTGTATGATATGATTCACAATGTTTTATTCAGACTATAAGCTGGGGAGGCACTATGAAACCATTTATTTGATATAATTGTTCTGGGGTGAATCCATGAGGTTGGTGAGCCATATGTAGATAATTCTGACATTTCTCTAGTATGACATTTCATTTCACAGGTGAAGAAAATAAAGGCGTTCCTTAAGCCAGTTGTAAGACTTCCCCATCGAGGGTTCTACCCAGGAGATCTCATTTCTAGAAGAACTCTGATAGAAACCCTCACTGCTCTCACACAGACAGGTTTGACTATTTGGACTGGTTTCACCTCCCAATTCAGTGGCATACCTAGTAAATAGTCTGGCCAATGGAATCAAAACCTACAAATTGACTTGTGCATGTAGACAACCTTAGTAGCTGTTACAAAAAACAAGCATGGAAGTCTGTGTCTTTGTGTTACCAACAGAAGTGACTGGAAAGTGAGTGCTAGTGTAGATCATTTAGTCCGTATCAAGCCATGGGACTGACTTGACGGCTTGTCACTGGAATTGGGTGGTTGTTTGGCATTGCGTTGCCACAGCCTAGAGGTTACCACATTTTTACTGTGAGTGAAATTTTACTGTGAGTGAAGAAAATGCAAGTGTTCCAGGTATCCCAGGCACGACACAGGTGCTCAAAGCAGGCCTCAATAATGAGTGATCTTCTCCCTCAGGCTGGCAGTTGCTCTCGGGCTGATATTGAATGTTACTATACTTGGAAAGTTGGTCATGTCATCCTAACATTGGTTCATGTTCAAGAAGGGACAGGTAGACAGAGCGCTGTGGTGTCTGTAGGCTTTGTGTGCTGCAGAAAGGCAATTTTGATTGAATGATCCCTGGTTAACTGTGGTGAACAGTGCTTGGTAAGAACTTGAAAACCCCCAAATCTTTCATTTCCCCGGGCAGCTGTCTCTGAGCACCATTAGCCCAATGTGAGTACTAGTCCTTGACCCCTTTGGCCCTTAATATGTATATTCATGACAATGATATCATTCACTGTTTTCGCCCTTTATCTTGCTTTTGTCCAGATGTTGCCTGATGTCTCACATCCTTCTGTGTGTGCCTGCCTGGCCTTTCCAAATGAAGTATCAACTACCGCAAAGCAGGGGTCTGGGACAGCTCAGTGGACCTGCTGACCATCTGCAGGCCTTGTGAGGGATTCTGGAGGGCCTCCCGACTAAACACATTTCTCGATCCAGATGTTCTTGGGGCCTGAAATTGCTATTGTCAGAGCACTTTAGCTGGCTAATGACAAAGAAAGCTCCTATTAGGAGGGGGAAGGGTAAGCTGTGACAAAGTGAGAGAGTGGCATGGACATATATACACTACCAAAAGTAAAATAGATAGCTAATGGGAAGCAGCCGCATAGCACAGGGAGATCAGCTCAGTGCTTTGTGACCACCTGGAGGGGTGGGATAGGGAAGGTGGGAGGGAGACTCAAGAGGGAGGGGATATGGGGATATATGTATACATATAGCTGATTCACTGTGTTATAAAGCAGAAACTAACACACCATAGTAAAGCAATTATACTCCAATAAAGATGTTTAAAAAATAAATAAATAAATAAAAAGAAAGCTCCTATTAGAATGTTCATTTCAGGGTACTGAACCATTATCAGCCTTTAGCACCCTCTCTTGAATTAGTATATCATATAAGCTAGTCAGTCAGCTAGAAAAGCTTTGGAGAAATGGGACTTCCAAAGAGGGAGGCTCTGCCGTTTTCAAAACTAAAACACCAATTCTATAGCTTCTATCAGGTCGAGCCTTACCCTCAGCCTTCTTTCAAAAGCGGAAATGTTGCCTTTGTTCTGCTCCTTCCGCTGCCGCCACTCGATGAGGTTGGCGTTGTGCTCTCCGGGCAGTGAGATGTTGCATTTGCCCAGGGTGGGGTTGACCGCCCCGGACAGGATGTGGGGCTCTGAGCTGAGGCTGATCTCCATCCCGCTGGCAAAAGTGACACGTAGGGAGCCGTCTGGACTCACCCGATAGGTACTCTGGGTATTTTCTGCAGACAGAGGAGCAAAGGAGGAAGAGGGGGAAGAAAGGGAAGCACAGAAGCAGAGGAGAGACAAGTTTAGCTTTAGGAGGTAAGGTTGGGAAAGGATGAGCAGGGGGGGTGCCGTGGACCTAACTGCCCTCTGGGCTAGACAACCACTCTGACGGGCCAACACACTCTGTCCATTTGGGTCTCGTTATTTTCACAGCTGGGCTGTCTTGTTTCTTGGATAAAAGACTCCTGTGTAATACTGCAGGCTGTTTTTGTTTTGAGAAACTTTCTCACTTTTAAAGAATTCCCTCACAAACTCCCTTTCTGACTTGGTGGACTGGCCTCCTCCATTTGATATGCTGGGAGCTAGAATGGGCAGGGTATGAAGTTTAACTCAGTATCATCACTGCGGGGGGACACCAGCACGGTTGCCGGACTCCACAAAATGATACGCTGACAAAGGTCGCCACCGATCCTTTTACAGTGGCTCAGCCTAACAATAGAAGGAGTCCTTAATGACTGGGCAGAGAGAAAACAATTTCTCTGTGTCCACCTCCCTCAGCTTCCAAGATATTCTTTCCAAATCCACCTCCCTCCCTCCCTTCCTCCCTTCCTTCCTGTTTACTCCTCTATTTCTCCCCCTCTCTCTCCTCACTTCCCTCCTTTCTTCCTTCCCTCTCTCCCTTCCTTCTTTTTCCTTCCATTCCTTTACTTTCCTCTCTTTGAACAGAATGAGCTTTTAATTCTCTCATTTCCCTTATATTCCTGCTTGGTGTGTATCCTCATTCATCCTTTTTATTCACCCATGTCATCATTGCTCTAGAATGCTAATCTCAGATGGGACACAGACTTCATTTCTTTAGTATAACCCAACTGGAGCTTAAAGAGCCTTACAAACAGCTGCGTGTTGGGAAATGACTTGATGGAAGAGTAGATTTGGCAGGGATTTAACCTCATAACTCCCACTGGGATGTGGCCCAATGTTGCTATAGGAACTTTGTGAAAGGTGTGACTTTGTCTGGGCTTCAGCCTCCATAGCTGGAATATTGGGAGAAGAAGTCATCTTCTCAGTCAAAAGTGAATTCTAGTCATTGACGGTGTGCAGAGGTTTGATGGTAGAAGTAAGAGAGATGCTGTTAGAGTCTGGCGAAGTTGGAAATATTCTTACCTTGTTTTAAAATATATATGGTACTAGTTGCTGTCAAATTGGTTGACATGAGGACGTTTTCGCGGTTGGAAGTATCTAGCTCCACTTTTGTCAGCTTCTCCAGGTCACTGTGGAAGCTGCTGACCTCTCCAGTGGGAAACGTTGCATTGGTCAGATGCCCCTCGGGGTCATACCTGAGGAATGTAACCAATCCCAATGTTGAAGTCTCTTGGCAGTGATAACAAGCTTTTGCAAAATAAAAATCACTTGGCAGCTAATACAGTTTAACTTTGAGTGATAACAAGTATTATTAACCTTGTTCAATAAGAAGAAAAAGGTCAGAGAGATGATTAATCAAACGAAGGTATTTTTTGCTGCTTCTGAATTCTTGATGACTTCCTTGAGCTGTGCTGTTTTACAGAAAAAATATATCTGGTAATGAATCACTAGGGTGGAAAACTGATTTATGAGTCATGTCCTGCTGTGTGCAATGTTGCAGGGAGCCCTCCGTTTGCAATTTGGGTCGATCCCATCAGATGTGATGGGTCACAAGGACCAGCAGAGGGTGCTGTTGACAAAGAAAAAGGAGGCATGACTGTCCGCCGCCCCGCCCCGCCCCGCCCCCACCAGCCTGAGAAGGCTAATAAACTGATTCTGCACTGTGATAGGAAAATTATGTTTGCTGATCTTTAAGTTGCCAAATTTGAAATGAATGAATCATTCTTCCAACAAAATGACCAAGCACCGAAGACAATGGAAACATGTTCATTAAAACATTCTGGAGCCCCCTGATCTCAGTGCCACTTAATTTTTTAATCTTTTTATAATATAGTACATAATGTGTTGTAATTTGCCTATATGAGTAAGAGACGAAAACAAATAATTACCTGGGATAATAGGCAATAACCTATATCTAGAAATATAGTCTTGTGAGTTGACTTTTTTTAAAAAATCAGAATTGGCAATCTCACTGTCCTCCAAGTGGAAACTGCCTCCCTGAAGGCTTTTGGTGTGGAGCTGTTCTTTTATTGCCAATAGAACCATGAAAAATAAACCCTTCATTAAAAGTAAGGACATGCACTTGGAAACCCATTACTGCTTTCAAGTTGCAAATTACAAAATAGTTAAGTACTTTTTTTGTTTTTAAAATGTTAAACAATTATATTCTTTTTACCCAAAGTGAGCAGGATACAGCCTGGACACAGTGGTAGAGTCTGGCTCTACTGCCTTCTCCCACCAAAATTATGCAAAATGGCCTAGTGATTCAGTGTTAATCCACTACGCTTTAAAGAACTCAGCCTGGATAGCTGCTGAAATTTTAAAACTTAGACCAGCCTTTGGTAGGCTTGGGAAAAGGGGCTAGACATTATTTTATAGGACAAAACTGAACTTGAGGCTATACACAATGCCATCTCAAGTTCAGTTCTGTTTGTACATGAGTGTGTGCACTGCACACACATGCTATCAGTTAAAAGAGTCAGGCACGCAAATAAAAATAATCAAATAGGTCATTTGACATCATAGATATGGCAAGCCCTAGTTGTTTAATTGGATGCATGCTTTGCTTAAATGGATTTCAGTCAAAAAGGTTATTGGCATGTTGCAGCTATGCTGCTAAGGCCTCATTATCGAGGAAAGGCTGAAGGGTGCTGTTTGCGCCTGGGGTTAATGGCAAAATCCTCCCCCCTGCTCAGCCCGTTTGCCCGTGGCCTGCTCGGGGCTCTGTGGCTGCAAGAAGAAGACCCCTGATGAGAAAGGGGCATGGAAGGGCCTGAACACCTAACACAGCTCCGACTTTGTCTGCCTGGTCTTCCTTCCAGGAGAGGAAAACGATATCCAGTTTTGATTCTTGCAAGGTACCAACCTGCTTTTCCCTGTAGGGAGGAGTTTCCAGGCAGCAGACAGAAGGGAGCTGCTGCAGGCCCCCCTCACTATGGAGACTGTGGTCCCACAGCCTGGACTACTCAGGCAGTTCCTCTCTGTTTCACATCCATCACCAGCAACTCTGCCTCATTGGTTTCCCTTTCCTGATTTCTGAAGGGTTTCCTCAGCACTTGGCAAGGTCACTCTTCATTATTCCTCCAGGAGATCTGACCTAAGATGCTACGCATGCAGGTTTCCAACGGGCTTTCCAGCTCAGGGCAGCTTCTTTCTTTCCCAGTCACATAGCCCCTTGTTTGAAAGCAAGATTTCATTGAAAGGTGATGGCAGTGGTCGTGCCCACTTCTCAGGGCAAGATGACAAGATCAGATGCTAACTGAGCCATCCATGAGCAGAGGTCAAAAATCTGAATGAACCTCAGCAGTGGCCTGTGGTGTAATTCCCTGGATAGATGTAGCTGGGAGGCTGCTGCCTGGCTCCTCGTCTGCTGAGAGAGGGAATGCAGTGGGGATAAGATAGAATTTCCCACAGTCCTGCCCAGGCACTAGAGAGCTAGAAAGTTGTATTGTCTGATTTCCTTTCTGTGGCTGGATAAGCCTCCTTATCTGAAAGTGTACATTTGACTTTATCATAAACAAAGCACTCTACCTTGAGGGTGTTATGCTAAGTGAAATAAATCGGACAGAGTAAGACAAATACTGTATGATCTCACTTATGTGTGGAATCTGAAAAAAAACAAAACCAAAAACCCGAACACAAAAAACTCATAGAAAGAGAGATCAGATTTGTGGTTACCAGAGGCGGGGGGTGGGTGGAGGAATGGGACAGAGGTGGTCAGAAGGTCGAAACTTCCAGTCATAAGTTACATAAGTACTGGGGACGCAATGTACAACACGACAATAGTTAACTGCGGTGTGGTATGTATGAAAATTCCTAAGAAAGTAAATCCTAAAAGTTCTCATCAGAAGGAAAAAATATTTTTCTTCTTTTTTTTTTGTATCTATATGAGATGACGGACATTCACTAAACTTACTGTCATCATCATTTTGCAATATATATAAATGAAGTCATTATGCTGCATGCCTTAAACTTATATAGTGCTGTATGTCGATTATATCTCAGTAAAACTGAAGGGAAAAAACCCAAAAAAACAAAGCACCCTACCCCCCCAGTACACTCACCCGCCCCAATTCTGCTAGTCACAGCCAAAGCAATGGCATTTGGTGGTGTCTGCAGTGTGGTGCCTCTCCTGGGCTCATTCAAAACCTACAGGCCCAAGTCTCTTCTGTGGGGTCATGTTCAAAGGAAGAGCAGATCCCACAACTTTGGAAAGATTGCTCCAAACTGGATAAGAAATAAAGGAAGCCTTTGATTTCTTATGGCTTGCTTGAGGTTTCTTTTTGTTGTTGTTGTTGTTGTTTCCCCTCCATCACAGGGGACTGCATGTTTCCAGAGTGAATGTCAAAGAAACAAGTTTAATCAAAATCTCTTACGCTGTTCTGTGGGCTTCCCTCTGGTGCCTGCATCCTTTGGTGCAGAGAACACAAGCCAATATGCTGCAACTGATCCCTTCAGGCCGTAACAGGGTTGTAACTTCCACCGCCCTGCCCCCACTCCCCCTCCCTACCCTGGGCTGCAAATTCTGGTCGGTGAATTGTGTGATCAGGCATTGACTGTTGCCTTCATGGTCATCAGGAGTGAGCTTGGGAAGAGGAGCTTTGCCATCACCTTGTCCCTTCCCGTCCCTGATTTTACAGAGTTCCACTGTGTGCGTGCGCACACACGTGTCCCCGTGGATCAAAGGAAACATTTGTAAAGGAAATTCAGAATTCATTCTTGTCCTTGAGGAACATATAGTTTATATTAGGGGAGATGATATTTACACATTATTAAAAATATATTTGGTCTGATATTTTCTCGTAAGGGATAGCCTGCCCTTTCCCTTGAGGACAATTTAAGCCAGAGCTAAACCGGGCAGGGTAAAAACTAGTAGCTCTTCCATCTTTGCTCTTCTTAAGAAAATATTGAAGATTATAGAAGAAAAATTCATTACTTATTTTTTTTAAAGGAAATAGACCCTCTTTACCCTCTCATGCCGGAAACCTGACCAACCTAATAAGCGTTCTTTAGGAAATACTGGATTGCCCTTTCTTCACCAATAACTTCATGTGGCCCCCTATGATTCAGCCCATGTCCATAATGCCCTTCTATCTTCACTTGTCCTTCACTCAATAAATATCAGTCTTGCGCTAGGTACTGGGGATACTGTGGTGAATGAACTTCAAAGTCTAGTAGCGTAGATAAGATACGCACACAAACCACTCTGGTGCCAGAACATTGCCATATACTTCTGTAAACAAGGAGCTGCAGAAGCTCAGAAGAGGCAGAAGTTACTTCCAGGCAGGCTGAGCAGAAGAGAAGGAGGTGGTACTTGAATCCTGGAAGGTAGCTGGAGATCAGTCCCTTGATAGGTAGAGACTGGGGACGGGAGGAAGGCACTCCAAAGGCAGGCACACCGGTGGCTGGGATGACCATCGAGGGAAGCATGGTGCTGGAGCACACAGGTCCTCTCGGAGGGGAGTGGGAGATGAGGCCGGAGAGGCACGTTGGAAGCAGAGCACGGGGAAACTGGGGTGTCAGGCTCTGGAGGAAAGCATGCAGTCAGTAGACAATGGAGAGGCGTAGGAAGCTCTTCAGGGGGAGAACGGTATGATTCAAGCAGTTCTTTGGTGGCAGTGAATCTCGGAAGGGAAGCTATGGAGCAGGGAAACCTGTTGGGAGGCTAACGCCTCAGCTTGTGTAAGAGAAGAGGGTGGCCTCTTGCCTTTATGAAATGCGTTGTGATCGCCTATCCTTGGGACCAGTCTTCCTTCCTAGGTTGTAAACTCTCGCATCTTTAGAGAGAGGACAGTGTCTCATCACCTCTGTATTTTCGGTGTGTGGCACAGAGCAGACTCTCACTGCATATACTTGTTGAATGAGAGAAACAGGATCTGCCAGTGGAAATGGGAAGGAAGGGGTGGGTATGAGAGTCAGCGTGGTGAGAGGATAGACAGAGCCATCCCAGGTGGTGTGGAGGCTTAGCTTACACGGACGTCCTGTGAGGTGCAGCTCATTTCCCAGCCAGGCTCTGAAAGCTCGTTCGGCCAGCAGCCTCTCTTCCTTCTGTTCAGTCCCTTTCTCTTTGGTAGTTCTCTCTCCCCAGCATGAGCCACGACAGTTCTCTCTGCCCATTCCTGAGCCTTTTACCAAGGGCATAAAGCACAGGGGGAAGGAACTGAGCAAAGGTGTCCAGTCTGTCTCTGGAGTACTG